ACTGAACACAAGTTCCTATACAAATAAAAGAGCATCCAAGACGACATCAAAGCATTTGCCTTTCTATTTTGTGCATTATAGATAATACCATTGCATTGTATTTAGCATGATTTGACTTCTGTCATTTCTCTGTTCTCCTTCAGGGTGTGGTTGGTGGAGTAACAGGAATTGTGACCAAACCGGTGGAAGGTATGGCGGTTTACTGCTCATGCAACACTCACTTGAATGAATTTGATCTTTTTTGTATTCAGTGATGCCAAAAATTATTGGGAATTGAAAATGCACAAATATGATGCATAATATATTGTCATGGGTTTAGGGGCGAAGAAAGAGGGGGCTGCAGGCTTCTTCAAGGGCATTGGGAAAGGCCTGGTTGGAGTGGTGGCCAGACCTACAGGGGGCATCATAGACATGGCAAGCAGTACTTTTCAGGGCATTCAAAGGTGAGACACAGATGCACATGAATATTATATCTACATCCGCACATACAAACACTGACACATTCGGACAGCCATGTACATACACCACCGCTCAAAAGTTTTGGGTTAGTAAGGTTTTTTTTAAACGTATACTCTTATTCAGCAAACACACATTAAATATATTTAAAATATAATAAAATAGAGAGATAGCTATTTTTTAATATTTCACAATATTACAGTTTTTACTCTATTTCTGGTCAAATAAATGCTGCCTTGTTGAGCATAAGAGATCTTATCGACCCCAAACATTTAAAAGCATAGTTCTTACTTTCTAATTATTTTTGTTTAAGCAATATTTTTAACCCACAAACTCATATGTGGTCATAATAATACCACAAGCGGTTTTAGGAGGGCCCACATTTAGTCATTTTTGCAGAGTGGAAATCTTGTCATTCCTACTAGGGAAGAGATAGATTGATGTATCATATTATGTAACCACTGATGTGCACTTTACATACCCATTTTGAAAAAGAAGATTAGATTAATGATATCCATTCTGAAAGGACAAGAAAAATATTGAATATTTAGTTACAAATTTCCTGTGGCAATTTTCTAATATACTGTCGGCTGTCAGCTGAGTGTCAGTGTCCTAATTTGTGTCTCTTTTGTCTTTGTTTTTTTGTTTTTTTTTCTCACATAGTGTTGCTTTTGTTTTCCTGTGTCAACTAATTTTGTGACTCTTTCTTTCATGTTTTTCATAAGTTAATTCCTGGATGTGTTTGTTCTTTTTAGTTCAGTGAGTATTTGGAAGCTCATGAGTGTATATGTGTACAAATGTGCGTATGAAGGACTGAATGACTGAAGTGTGAATGTATGTGCCTATGTTACCCAAAGACATGACGGTGAATGATCCCTCTGCATTCACTGTGGGGATTGCTTGTTTCCTGGGTCCAAAAAAAAGTTAATTTTGCAGCATGAAAGAATTTTTACTCTACAGGGTATGAATGGTTGAAAGGTAAGCATTGCATCATGGGAAGAAAATGATGTGAGCTGTAGTGCAGAGCATTCTGCCATAATCTGCAGTTCAAGAATCCCCTTATAACTGGAGTAATTAACATGTGCCTATTTTCCCATCATTGTTACATTTGCTTCTGATCTCCACACCCCTTTCACTGGTGCATTATGGGGCCAATGGAAAGTCTGATGAGCAAAGCAGCACAGACAGGAGCAGAGGAGCATAGAGAGAACCGAAAGTACAGATAAGCACATATACTCACTTGTAACTATGTTCAAGGGAAATGGTCCTTTAAAGAGGTCATATGATGTTGCTAAAAAGAACATTATTTTGTGTATTTGGTGTAATGAAATGTGTTTATGCGGTTTAAGGTTAAAAAATCAGCTTTTATTATGACACAGTGGACTGCTTCCGCTCCTTCTGGTCGTGCGTATGTGGGGTAAAGCAGCGCTGTTTTAGATACGTTTGAAAGTTCTGTTATAATGCTACTCTGTGCGGTCGTCACCGGTCTAATAAAACGCACAACATATTAAAACATCTTTGGTGTTTCCATGTTTTCTACAAAACAAAACAAAAAATCGAGGGTGTATGACGTCATTGGCAGGCAACACAATGACACTATGGACACGGTCCGTGTCACTAGTTAAAATAGCTTATTTCTCTGGATTTAAACATTCTTTGAAACATTTGGGATAATGAAAGTACACAAGTCAGCAAAATATATAACACTGTTCTAGTGGTTTTGGGATATTTTAATAAAACTAATTTACATATTGCACCTTTAACATCATAAATCTAGCAAAGAGTATATATTTTTTTTCATTTCACTTTATTTCAGGCTCAAAGATCCATATCAAAAGACAAACATAAACAGAAAAAACACATACACACAAATCTGACCAATGTAATCAGTCTCTTCATATTTTTTTCTTCTTTTATAAAGTCAGAGAAATGCTATCATACATAGTTTTTTTTACTTTAGCTATTGGAGCAAATAGAAATTCAAAAATTATATTTGTTGTTGTGTCAGTTTGCCGCTGTTTTAGAAATTTACCAAACTATGACGACTTCTGCTGTTGACACCCACAATGACTGACACCTAATGTGAAAAGCATCTATTGAGTTTCATTATATGGACAAACTCATCTTTTGTGTTCCACAGAAGGAAGAATGTCGTACAGATTTGGAACAACATGAGGATGTGTAAATGAGTATAATTTTGACTGAACTTTGGATAATGTCCCTCTTTCCGACTTCTCTGCTTGTCAGACCAAGTCCACTGCATGAGCTCACTGCACTGCTGATGCACTGGACTCTATGATACAGCACTGCCTAGTGTGACCAGATGCTCTCTGAGCAATAGCAAAAGAAGCATTATGATTTCAAAGGCAGTCGATGACCAGGCTAACCAATCACATTGTGCACCCATGCCTTTAATTGCACCCTGGAAAAATTAGTTAGTCAATCTGTGGTGTTCCCACCCCTGGCTTTTTCATGCCAAACCTTTCACGACAAGCTGGAACAGTGATGCCCCACCAACCCCTCAAGTGATTCACTAGCATATGCGCTCAATCATCACCATTCGTTCTGCTCTCCATCTTATACACTTGAATCGACCAGCTCTGTCTGTATGAACTAATCATATTGCTTTTCCATGCTCGCACTGTAGAAGTAACCAAAGGTGAGAGAGGGCTTAAGGAATCAGACACTGCATGCAATAGCACAAGTAAACTTTGTAGGTTGATGATTTTGAAATGACTCTTTGAGATGAATTGCATTTGTTCAAGGCTGTTCGGGCATGCTCAGATGAAATTTAATCGAGTAGATTCTGTTCACTACCTGTTGTTAAGAATGACTCACCCATTGCCCACGCATTTCAGATGAATAAACAGCCTTTGTGAGAGTTATATAACATGCTGTTGCTGACTTGATTTGCAGAGTGGCGGAATCAACTGAAGAGGTGACTAAATTAAGGCCAGTGCGTCTCATACAAGAGGACGGCATCATACGGCCCTACAACCACCATGGGTCGGAGGGCTATGACCTCTTTCAGGTGAGGTCACCTGTCAACCCCACTGACCAGGCTACTAGACCCAGATGGGAAGGATTTTAATCAACATAACCCTCCGTTTTAATTTACAACTACTAACTACTAACAGCCAAATTGTTTTGAAGGATTGGAGTCAGTTTGACAAATTAAGGCAAAACCATTGTTTTTTTCATGAACTGGTCAATTTCAAGATTTTGGACTATTTTGCTTCCATAGCATTGTCGCATTTCAGACTATTCCTCATGCGCTGAGCCAGAAAGCTCCACTTCAGTAGGACTTACATGCACCAAACTTTCCAGTTTTATTCCTATTTATATTCGGAAGGTTTTTACAGAGGGATTTGTTCATATATATCATGCTGATTTATGTAACATTTTATTCCTAAAAATGTGTTGATTTTTTTTTCCTGAATGTTAACAGCACTTTCTGATTTATGGAATTATAAAAAAAAGATTCTCTCTAAAATCCCCTCTGTAAAAACATTTTAAACTCTGTAATATCAACAAAAATAAAACAAGAACTTTGAACCTGGCTTTATCTAATGTTCAGATTTCTGTTCTGGACATTTTTGTTAATTAGTGCATATTTAAATATACCATTTTCAGGAAACAAATCAAAACAATTGTCTTATTGTGATGTGATTATTCAACTGAGGAGTTAAACGCAACCAAATTCCAAATCCCCTTGTTAAAATTCCAGCTGTATTCTTCATTAAAACTGACCTTAAACTCCAAAGTTGAGCTGACTCCTGCCATGCTGTGAAGAAATTAATTCTTGTTTGCCTACTCATTTAATTTTTCATTTTTCTCTCTTTTCTGTCCTTTCCCAAATGCAGCCTGAGGAAATGTAAATTGGGAGTGGGAGATGGCATTGGGACTATTACCTTAAAGGAACACTCCACTATTTTTGAGAATAGGCTCATTTTCCAGCTTCCCTAGAGTTAAACAGTTGAGTTTTACCGTTTTCGAATCCATTCAGCCGATCTCCCGCAGCGCCTGAAAATAGTCCCCAGCACGCTCCCTGTGCAAGCAGGTGGTCATGTTGGTTATGCTGACGGAAGTTAGCCTATTTTCAGGCACTGCGTAATATCATTGCGCCTGCTGCACCCATGGTACGGCATTAAAGTTCCTTGATTATTACGCCGGAATGAGAGTATAGTTCCTAGCTATATCGGCCTAGAAAACCACAACTTTTCATTTTCCGTCGGTCTTAGTACACGATGTAACTACAGAAGAGTCAAGTTTTAAATAGGAAGTTTTAAACACTTTGGACATTTTTGAGCGAGATGCTAACGGTCTAATCAGATTCAATGATCTATGCTAAGCTACAGCTAAAAGTGCTACCGCCAGACGGAGATCGGCTGAATGGATTCGAAAACGGTAAAACTCAACTGTTTAACTCTAGGGGAGTTGGAAAATGAGCCTATTTCAAAAATAGTGGAGTGTTCCTTTAAAGGTGTTACTGAAAACATTTGAGAACACAGAGATATTGTAGCACTTAAATGAATCAAACTGGATATCCAGTACTAGACTCAGTCTAGCCTGGTCCACCTACAATAGAATGTTACATGATTGTGTTTAGAAAATTATATATTATCCTAAGTCTGCATCTGAAGTTGTCTGTCTTGTGCACCTTTATGGCTGTGCTACTTTTCTTATCTAGAAAATGTTTTTTTTTCTTACTGGTCTCCATTAATTTTGCCAAAAATAATTTCGGCATTATACCTCAGACATTTTTATTATATCAGTTTTATATCAGTATATACTTTTATTTTGTATCAGTTAATGGCAAATATATCCAAACATAAACTCATTAGTCAATATCATATTTTCCCCCAAATATATTATTTGAAATTCACAAAAACAAGGTAATTTTAAGACTTTAGAGCCACACTGGCAAACAATAATATATTTTCATTATTAATATTTAAACAATTATTCAATTTGTTAGAAATAGGATGTGGAACTTCCAAAGTTCATCTATTTTTCTAAACTTCATTTTAGTTTCTTTGAATTTATGTCTGCAAATACATTTCCATGAATATAAAGTATGTTAACACAATATTACAGTCTACATAAAATGTATTTATTAAAAATATATTCTCAATCATTGTCAATACATACAAATGCATATTAATATATGCAAACGTATTTTATATGCACTAAATGGGCATTTTACAGTGAATGTTGGAATTAATGTCCGATGTATTTTCCTATATACTTTATACACTATATCTTATATAAGACATGTGGTTCATAATTGTCATGTTATTGTTTGTTTTAATGTGGCTTTACTGTGTTGTAATTGTATTAATTGAAGAGTTTGCTTGTGGCCTGTGTTTTGACCCAAATAATCTGGAATAAATCAATACTCCTCTTTGCCATGATCAGTTTTATGCATTTTGGATGCATTTTCTGATTTGAATTTTCTATGTATGTGTGTGTGTTGTTTTTTTTTTTTAGTTTGTTTTGATTCAGATCATTATTGCTGAAAAATATTCGGGTGCAGTCTCTACAGTATTTGGTGTATTGTGCTGTATGAGCATGTATGTTTTTCAGAGGTCTGAGATTAAACAGTTGGATGGAGAGATATTCAGAGAACACTATGAGTACCCAGGGTGCAAAAAAACAAACATCATTATCACCAACAGGTATTCCAACAACAGAAAAATAATGAAACAGTGGCATTTTGCCAGTTTTCTCTTTTCCATATGTTCTTGCTGTGTGTTGGTTTATTTATCATGCAGGAGAGTGATGTGTGTGAAGGAGATCGACGTGATTGGACATTTCAATAAAGAATGGGAATGTCAATTTGAGAACTTTCAAAGGCCTCCAAGCAAAGAAGGAGGAGATTTGAAGATATATTACCGGGTACATAAATGGCTTCCTTTTACATGCTTCCTAACAGCACAGTGATAAGTGTATAATTTAAAACATACTGATAAAGTCATGATTAACTAATTAGCATTGCTTTACAAACATCTGAATGTTGGTGCAGGAACAGAACAAATTAAACCTCATTAAGAAGGATGGACAGATGCTAGTGAAAGTGATACACATGAGACATGCTGACATGGCTGAGGTAAAAATCACAGACGTGGGTTTTGTGTGTGTGTGTGTGGATTATAAATTAAAACTGCTGCTTGAAAATTATTTAGCTTTTGAAGGAATAGTTCACTATTGAAAATTTGCTGAAAATGCATTCACCCTTAGGCCATCTATGATATAGTTTAGTTTGTTTCTTCATCTGAACAAATTTGGAGAAATGTAGTATTACATCACTTGCTCACCAATGGATCATCTGCAGTGAATGGGCGCCGTCAGAATGAGAGTTCAAAAAGCCTATAAAAACATTGTGGATTATTGTGATGTTTTTATAAGATTTATTGACACTCATGCTGATGGCACCCATCCACTGCAAAGGATCCACTGGTGAGCAAATGATGTAATGGTAATTTTTTTCCTGATCTGTTTCAATGAAGATACAAAATCTAGATCTTGGATGGCCTGAGGGTGAGTAAATTTTCAGCTCATTTCTATTTTTGTGTAAACCTATTCCTATAATGAATTAAATTTCATCAATGTGAAACTAGCAAGCAAAATGTCAATGCCCAATGTTAAATATGACACTGGGCATTTTACAGTACATTTAGCTTGCTGTTTCACAGATGCCAAGTTGTGATTAAGCTCGTTGCACTAGTTTTATCTCTTTCATGCTCACATGCCTTTATACTGAGTAAAAGTACATTGCTATCAAAATGACTGATTTTCATTTTCTGTCAAGAACAATCGGTGGCCTCTTTGACCTCTTTTGCTTCACACTCCACAGAGACTGCGAGAAGGAATTGACAGTGCCCAGTTTGCACGCAGGCAATATCAGATGGCACGGCAGAAATCACAGCGCTTCGTCAAAATGGGCAACATTTAAATTAGCCAGACAAACCATGTAAACACATGCCCACATCATCTACGTTTAATATACTGCCTAGCATTCAAAGTATCAATTATGTATAGAAATATATTTTAGCAAATCTATTAGTTAAACTCAATGAAGTTTTGAATGTGTCTGAAATGTTTGAAAGTTTTTTTTAGTTAAAACTAAAAAATGTTTTTGGATGTTTAAGCACTTCGCCTTGTGTTTTGCTTGAGGTCTTGATGATGGGAGAAATCAAATATGGAAAAGAGATTGTTTTGTTAATTATTTTGTTAATTATTATTATTTTGCACTTGCTATAAAAATACATCACTTCAATATACAACTGTAATGTATGAGGCTTGTCCAGTTTAGCTCACTTATCTTGATTACAAATCCTGTCATAAAAGAAAGACAAAAACTTGTATACAGCATTTTGTGTTCTAGATCATCCTTCCACAGGTTTTGCTCAACAGTGACACATATAATACACAAAGTTGCTCTCAGCTTCTTAAAAATTATAACACTACAATGTTTTGTTCTCTCATAGCGTACTATGACTATGTAGTAAAAAAAATTAATTGACAGACCACACCTGCTATTTGAGGTGGAGACTATGATACGAGCTTAGCTTTACCTCTCATGGTTACTTGTTTGTTTTGGAAGTAACCAAAAAATTATGAAAGGGTGCCTGTTTATATGGCAAGAAAAGATTGCACTGTATTCCATAGTTCCCTTTCGATACTTCATTCGTGCTGCGTCTGCTTAAGACGCACATGGGAAAAAAGCCTTTTCGGGGCTGCACGAGCCTATGGCAACAAAGCCCGCCAGAATGGGCGGGGCATCTGGCTATATAAGCGGGTGCTCGCCACCGGATTCTCAGATTTCTTCTCCTTCAGCGACGACTCTACGCTCATCGCTGATCCTGAAAGCCTGCTCGCCGTTGACATGCCTTCGCAGCTGGAATCGGGACCTCTCAGCACAGCTGACCTGCTTCTCCGCCCCTACAGCGACGCAGCAGTTCCGGTCCGTTTCCCCTGCCGCCATCCGGAGATTCTAAAAGAGCTTATTTCTAGCAGGTAAGCCCTAAAAGAGCAAATTCTAGCGACGTTGTTGCAAATGTTGCTCTGCGAGTGTGGCACGTGCAGGGAAACTTGCACGATGCAAAAGAGCAATGAGTAAGTCATCTGTCTGGGCAGACCCCACGTAGAGACTGTGCTCTCACTGAGACAAAATGCTCACTCGAGCATGAGTCTCGCTCTTCTCCACTCGTGGACCGCCTTCACTGGAGGCAGCCCCGCTCTCCCGTTTCTTCTCTCTCAGCGAGCCTCGGAGAGAGAAACAGCGGAGCCAGGGAGCTAAGCAACCAGGTCTGAGCGATCGCATGCCGGCACCGGACCCGCGGGCTCGCTCTCCCCGCTGCACTTTGATCCGCCGCAGAAGGGCAGTGAGCTGTGCGCTCACTGAGACAGAATGCTCACTCAGAGCATAAGTCTCGCTCTTTTCCGCTCCTGGACCGCCTTCAATGAGGCAGCCCCGCTCTCCCATTTCTCCTCTCTCAGCGAGCCTCGGATAGAGAAACAGCGAAGTCTGGGAGCTAAGAAACCGGGTCTGAGCAAGCCTCGGAGAGAGAAACGACGAAGCCTGGGAACTAAGCAAACGGGTCTGAGCGATCTCACGCCGACACAGAGCCTGCGTACTGGCTCTCCCCGCTGCGCTTCGATCCGTGTCTCACACAAAAGGATCAGTTCCCCTGTTTACATCGAGCGGCTCTATCCTACAAAGTAGATCGGAGCAGATGCTGCCGCTGACAGCTTTAAATTTGTGTGTGTCACTATGGCTGCGCTCACAGACACGGCCCGCTTTTTACCACAAAAGCAGTCTGCCCCTGTTCGTTCGCGGAAGGCGGCCCCGCCTCCCCGCGCTCATGTTTCTCTCCTCCCAGCTACCTTGGAGGAAGCAACGACGAGCTCGCGGGTTGAACGATCAGACTTGAGCAATCCTCTACACGCATCATGCGTGCTTAATCTGCCAGTGTGTGTTACACATGAGGATCGGTGCACCTCGTTATACGAGCAGCTTAATCCTCCCAGGCAGATCAAAGCGAAATGCGGGCAGCTTCGCATTTGTGTGTGCGTCGCTAAGCCCCGCCTCCCCCACTCTGCTGTTTCTCTCCTCCCAGTTACTCGGAGGCAGAAATGGCAAACTCGCGGGTATGATCAATCAGGCTTGAGTGATTAAAGCCGGCAAGGCCCCCGCTTGCATCACTCTCCACGCAGCTCTTTGACAGGGCAAACTTCCTCTTCCATTATTCTTAAGTGTTCTGCCCCCGTGCGGCCAGTCACCTGAGTTCATTCAACCCCTCGTCACGCGGGCCGAGGCCTGGCAGGCCATCCCCGGAGTGTCGAGATGGGTTATGGGGATAATAAAGCGAGGATATTCACTCCAATTCGCTCAAAAACCCCCACGCTTCAGCGGCGTGGTCCCCACCTCAGTGCAGAGCAAGGACGCTCACGTCCTGCGCTCAGAGTTGATGAATTTGCTGGCAAAAGGAGCTGTGGAAAAGATTCCTCCAGCCCAGAGCGAGTCAGGCTTTTACAGCCGTTACTTCCTCGTCCCCAAAAGAGATGGTGGCCTCCAACCCATCCTCGATCTCAGACCCCTGAATCGCGCCCTCATGAAGAGGTCGTTCAGGATGATTACACTGAAACAGATCCTCGCACAAATTCGCTCGGGAAACTGGTTATTTTTTCTGGACCCGAAGGATGCATACTTTCACATCCAGATAGCCCCTCGTCACAGGCCATTCTTGAGATTCGCCTTCGAGGGTGTGGCTTATCAATATATGGTCCTTCCCTTCGGGCTGTCCCTGGCCCCCCGCACCTTTACGAAGTGCATGGATGCGGCTCTCTCCCCTCTGAGACAGATGGTAATCTGTATTATCAATTACCTTGACGACTGGCTTGTCCTGGCCCAGTTGGAAGCAGAATTAATATTTCACAGAGCTCTCCTCCTCAGCCACCTGGAGTGCCTGGGACTCAGGGTCAATCTTGCCAAGAGCTCATTGCTTCCCAGCCAGCGAATTTCGTTCCTGGGAACAATCTTCCACTCAGCCCAAATGAAAGCTGTAGTCACACCAGAACAAGCTCTGGCCATACGGAGGCTGGCGACCTCCTTCAAGATCGATACCGCTCGCCCTCTCAAAGTGTTTCAAAGAATGCTGGGCCTCATGGCAGCAGCATCTCCAAACGCCTCCAACTCAGGTTGGGGGGCGCTGTGCGAGATCATACCGACCTTCGGCCACTGGTCGAAGGTGGAAAAAGGCTTTCACATCAACTGCCTAGAAATGCTAGCAGTATGTCGAGCCTGTCAGTTCTTCCTGCCAGTCCTGAAAGGACACCATGTGCTAATCCGATCGGACAACATGTCAGTTGTGTCCTACATAAATCGCCAGGGAGGCCTCTCTTCAAAGCGCCTCTTCATGTTGGTAGAGTGCTTCATAGAGTGGGCTCAACCCAACCTGCGCTTGCTAAAGGCAGCGCATATACCAGGCAAATTTAACCGGGGGGCGGACATGTTATCAAGGAGCAATGTCCCCTCAGGGGAGTGGATGCTCCATCCGCAGACGGTTCAGAAGATCTGGGAGATCTTTGGCGAGGCCGAGGTAGACCTCTTTGCCTCATAAGACAACTCTCACTGCCAAATTTATTTTTCAAAGACCAAGGACGCGTTGGCCCATGATTGGCCCAATCTCATTCTCTATGTTTTCCCCCTGATCGCTCTGATCCCATAGGTAATCAGGCGAGTGAGGGAACAAGAACACAGGGTTCTCCTGGTAGCCCCCCTTTGGATGAACCAGCTGTGGCTATCAGAGCTGACTCAGCTACTGATAGCAGCCCCTTGGCCTGTTCCACTGAGACAGGATCTCCTCTCTCAAGCGAACAGGACATTATGGCATCCTCGGCCCGACCTATGGGCCCTGCACCTCTGGCTGCTCGACGGGAGCCTTCGTACCTCCCAGAGCGAGTCTTAAACACAATTTCGGAGGCTAGAGCTCTCTATGCCTTAAAGTGGTCTTTTTTCTCCGCCTGGTGTCTAAACCACAGCAAAGACCCCCCCCTCACTTTCGAATTGGCAGAGGTGTTGTCATTTCTACAAGAGCTGCTGGATAAGGGTCGTTCCCCATCCACGCTCAAATTCTATGTGGCGGCTATAGCGGCCTCTCATGTCCCTATTGAGGGTCAATCGGTGGGCAGAAATAGTGCGGTCATCCGCTTGCTGAGGGGTGCAAGGAGGCTGAATCCGCCTCGTCCCCCTACCGTCCCTTCATGGGACCTGCCCACTGTGCTGAGGGCCCTGAAGGGCCCCGCTTTTGAGCCGCTCCAGTCTGCCAACATTAGGTCGCTATCGCTGGAGTCTGCTCTGCTTCTAGCTCTAGCATCAGTAAAGCGAATAGGGGACCTGCAGGCGTGCAGGCGCTGCCCTGCCTGCCTAGAATTCGGGTCTAATGACACTAAAGTCGTCCTGAAACCAAGGCATGGTTACGTACCTACGTACCTCTCCACACCGTTCAGAGCACAGGTCATTACGCTCTCCGCGCTTCCTCCAACTGAAGAGGACAGA